CCTGTTAGCGGGTGTGCGTGTGCGTGTGTGTGTGTGTGTGTGTGCTGGTGTGCACCCATCCTGAAAATATCTCCCTTTAAAAGCCAGGCCGTAATAATGAGAAAGCCCTTTTGTATGGACAAAAGAGAAGCCTACAAAAAAAAGAAAAAAAAAAACACAAAACAATGTGTACTGAGTCATAAACAATCAGTGGCAAATAACAGCAATTTCACAGCTAATTCGTAGATTTCACGTGTGGATGCCTGCATCACCTCCCTCCATTTAATGCTGTGAATAGAGACACACGCTGACATTACAACAAGACCAAACTCTGTGTGGATGTGTGTGTCGGTGTGTGTGTGGTGGGTGGAGGTCTCAGGTCTAATGATTTAAGCCCAGTCTGACTGTCAGACCGACTGCTGAGCGCAGAGATGTGCAGCAACACACACTCTCCTGCTACTACAGGTGTCAAAATGACTTTAGTTCGGAGCTGGTTATTAATTAAGGGGTCGACTGATGTGTCTCTCTCAGGGAAGATATCAATTATTACTGATCAAGGAGATCAGTAGCTGATATTTGTAGCTGAAGCACATGTGCAGTAAAAATGAAAATATGTGCACATGTTTAATTAAAAGAGAAATTTATTCTTCTGTGTTGATTGGATGTTACCTGTGATGCATAACCAATCAGATGCTGCTGTGGACAATACATCACAGAGTGACCACATCAGAGCCAAAGTGGCACATTTTTTAAATCAATTAATTTTTGTAGCAAATCAGTTTTTAAAAAAAGACAAATTGGTAATCAAAATGATGGTGCCTTTCAGTTCTTTAGCTGGTCAACTTAATCAGAGTGCGTAATCAAAAATGTGTTCTCCCTCATTTTAATTGTGTTTTATTAGAATCATCTGTAGCTTTAATTATTGTCTCCAAATGACAGAACTGTTTAGCAGCTGAGTCTGGGTTTAATGGTAGTAACATAAAATATTGTGCAGTCTCTCCAGATAAAGTTGCATCGCCAGGTAGGATAAAACGACAGACTGTAGCCTCTGGATCTGAAAAGTCAACCCCACCCCAATTGTTGGTTTCAAGTCTCCTTCAACACAAAATTCCACACTCAAGGCTTCAAAACGGTTGCTTTTGTAAAGAGAGACAATACAAACAGACCTGAAAATCTATGCAGGCCTCTACACAATCCACTGGTAAAGCAGATAGACTAAAATCCCTAAAAGTGGAGAAAAAAATCATGCACGTGGCGCCTCTGAAACCTCAGAAGAACACGTAAGCTGCAACATCAGGAAGTGAGTCCTTCATCCACAGCAATGATTCTAAAGTTGCAGCTGCAAAAACACACTTGTTCACTTTCTTGTTGATGCTGATGATACCACTGTAATCCGTCTACTAAACTTAACTGAGCACAAAGAGCAAAAACAGCTAGTCTGCCTTGATCTAAAGGTACAAAAAATTGGCGTACCAGCTCCTCCAAAGTTTACTAATTGACACGGTGCATCTCATTTGCTTAATACCCACAAAATCCAAAGTGTAAAAATAATAATTTGGTGTCTTATGGGAGGTTAAACTGTTTCCTGAATGGGACCAGTAACCTCCCAGAGTGTCCCGGTTCCGCATGGATTTGTGCAAGGATTAAACAAATGAGATGAAGCTTGTTAATCGATGAGCATTAGCAGCACTTGTAGGAGGATTTTTTTTAACCTTTGGACAGCTAGTAGTTTCCGCCTGTTTCCAGCCTTTGTGCTCAGGTAAGTTAGTCATCTAGATTAACCCTCAGCAAGAGAGCGGATAAGTGAATTTCCAAAAACTTTTACTTTAATCCTCAATGAAAAAAAAAGAGGACTATGTGCGTAACCACTTTACAGGATTACTGACTATTGAAATATTTTTAACAGTCACCTGTTGCTGAGGAGTTGCTCAGTGCAGGTTCAGACAGATAAGTGTGGTCCCATACATGATGGAAAATTAACTGATATAGCGTCTTTGATTCGAGTTGCATCCGTATTCCCCTGCCAGTCCTAATTCTGTCTTTCATAATGTGGATCTACTCAACAGAGTTGGTATTTTCATACGCTTGGGGGTGTGAATTTGTCTCCGGTCTTTGTCGCAATCTCCGTAAGCACACACCAATGCGCTTCAAGCAATTCAGCCTGGAGCAGTTCAGGATGAAGGAACAGGTGATGGAGAGGTTGTAAAGAACTCGGTCACACCTTAAATTCCACCTCCCACCTTTCTATATATTTTAGAAATCTGCACCAAGTAACACGCCATATAAAAATAAATTTAAAGGTAAGACTTGCGCTGCTTATTTATAGGTGAAGTTTTCGTGGTGTTAGAGTTGACGAAATAGGTGGTAAAACATTAAGACTTTGATCGTTCTGCTCTCATTCTGCAAATGACTGAATGAGTCATTACACTTCAACTTGTGATAAAAGCACTGAAAAAAAGCCAGCTCGGGGAAGGTGGACTATACAATGAAAACGCACTGCCACTTTTCACCATCTACTTTTCTTATGTGCAATTTTTTTTCTCCCCCTCTTCTTCCTCAGATTTCACCTCTGACAGTCTTGCCCTAGATATTTCTCCATCCTTGTCAGACACACTAGCAGGTCTCATCGGCTGCCAGCTGTGGAGGAGAGGACGTGGAGATCAGCGCAGATGAGAAGTGAAAAGGATGAAGGGAAACCAATCGATCCAGAACCTCTATCCTAATCTTGTTGACGTCCTCAGATGGTGCAGACAGCAGCCCTCAAGCAACTTTGGGGAACATATTAAATTTAAAAAATGGCTTTTTTTCTTTTTTTTTTCTTCTCCTTCCTCCTCTAACCATTTCCCAAGTGTCATTCCCAACACAGCTGGTAGTTTAAGACAACACAACATGTGCATGTACAGGTCGGTTCCACACACCAGCTCTGCTCGTGAAACATCCTTTTGATTGCATTTCATCAGCTTCACGTATTCAAAACTCTTCAGGTGCATTTTATTTGTCAACTCAGATCTTTCAAGGCTCCAGACAGGTGTGACACATCAGAAATACTCTACTGCGACCTTGTGGCCAACGCAAGAAGTGCAGCTGCAAATGATTGATTAATAGATGTGAAAAGAAATTGCAGTTTTTTTTAAATATTTCCACTTCTGGCTTTTATTTTCAAGCAAATTTACAGTTGTTTGCCAGTATAGCTACAGAAAGATTGGCAAAAATCCACAAGTAAATCTTGATATGACTCTGTTAAAAACTGTATACAAAAAGACCCCAAAACTGTACATTAATTAACATAACTACATTTATATAGTGTTCCTATATATATATATATTTATATACTGTATCTGAGTGTACAGTGACTTATAGATACCATTGGTTATGAGAAGTATAGATCACTATACAGTAACACATTGTAAAAGAGACAAGATAACATTCTGTTTGAAGGCTGTCAGTTTAGGTGGTTTTGAAAGATCAGGACAGTGAGGACAAGAGTGACCAGTACAGTAAGACTGTAAAATCCACCATTAATGGCTTTGAAAGTTTCTACAGCAGAGTGTCAAATCTCAGACAAGACAAGGTTCAGTGCAGGGGGTGTATCAGAGCATGAGCTAACACCACAGAAATCTCTTTTGTTTCATGTAAAGCTATGCATACATACATGTCCAGTGTTTGTTTTGTCACAATCCAGTTTGGTTTTTTGAAATATTCTTCTACATAAATAAGACACACATCAAATACTGTCTCCAAAAAGTAAAAAAAAAAAGTAACAAAGCCTCTCATGATGTCTAACATACAGAAAATCACTACAGGTGTTTCTGTGTAATTTATTGATTGATTTCTTCTTTTTTTTCAATTTTAGATCCAAGAGTTTTCTGATAACTTAAAAACTTCTAAGTGCAAATATTCACCTGGTTGTTGATTAAATTCCTGTTTGACATCCAAAGATCTTTGAAATCTCTTAACTCAGAACGAACTGCTAAAGCGATTACGAGGAACATGTTTACGTTCTGTTGGATCGTCTCAAACACCAGACGGTTCCAACAATAGATTCTTCCCTGTGATGGATGACGTTTGAACGTAACATTAGTACAACTGTAATACTTACTCACTACCACTTGGCGAGTGCTTATAGGCCACATTTGTTGCAGTGGGTCATTCACATGCAAGGCAATATTCCAACTTCACTTTGATTATACTCATTGCATCTCTGAGCCAGTTAGCCCTGTGGTTACGGTATGAATTCACATATACTGGCTTGTTAAAAATTTAAGGACTATCAGCCACCTCTGACATGACAGGTTCCTTGCTGCCCTCAGATAACGTAATATTTTTTTATTTGGGAGGACATTAGTCAACAATAAATTTTGTCTAATTCCTTGAAGGTAGAGTGAGCCATTCTGTTCCAATACAGGTAAATTAAAACGATATCTGCAAGTGGTATTTTCTGCAGTGGATGTTCTTGTGCTTGAAGAGCAGGTGTGAGAAACAGCAGCAACCACTCCTCTCCTCCGTGTTTTCAAGGGGAAATATCAAGCGAGAAAGTCTGTGAAGATTCTCAGTCATCCAGGTCATGATTATTCTGGTAGATTAATCGTAGCAACTGGACTTGCTTGAGTTTGCTAAAGATGTTTCACCTCTCATCTCACCTCTCAAGTCCAGTTGCTACGATTAATCTATCAGAATCAAGCGAGAAACTGATATCAGCATGTCAACATGTAGCATGTCAACAGGTTGCTGCAGGTGCTGATGATTTCTAACTTTTGTTTTGCTTTAGCTATGATAATGAAATGTCCACTTCCACGCCTATGAGGCTCTTTTGGTCCAAGTTCGTGTTGTCGCCTTGGCAATGCTCATTCATGAATTTAAGTGACGACACCTCTGAAGGAGCACTAAAGAAGGGCGTGTTTGAATGGCTAACTCCACCTTCAATGTACTGAATACTGGCACACAGCTTTGGTTGAAAAACATCTCCCTTCAAGAACCTCTATCTGTCAAATCCCAAATTCAGACACAACAGAAGCAGGAACTGAGTCACTGATTACATGTTTTGTAATCTGGTTCACCCAAACAAACAAAAACAAAATGGAAGTAGAAAACCAAGATCTGGAAAAGCAAGTTAAAATGAAAGAAACACACAGAATACATTTTTTAAAAATCCCAGTTTGTGACAACGATCGACTGCAGTTGGTCGATCAAGCAGTGCTGGAGCTCTTCAAGTCTTCTTTGTCTTTAAAATAAAGAGTAACAACAACATCGTACTGTTGTCTTTCCAGTGAGTAAATAGGGATTTTTACACATTGTACCTAAATAAAAACAGTAAAAATAACATTTCAGAGACAGATGCCCTCGGGGGCATATATAAAACATCTGGAATAAAAACAATAAAAAATTATATTAAACATAAGTCATTGAATGTTTTGGTGCAAGTGGTAATTAATTTGTTCATCGACTGTGTATCACTCTTTCTGGACCATATAACCTGTATAAAAGCTAACTTTTACATTCACCTCATCACTAACTCGTCACTCCTCAGTTGTGCATCCATACATCCATCATCTGCAGAGCCTTTGTACCATCAAAGTGTATATTGATAGTCGTAAATTCACCATAAAGCAAGCACAGACAGTTCAGGAGAAACAAAGGTAGATTTCATCAACTAGCACAAGGCACCTAATGTAAAGCAGCTAAAAGTATCTCTAGCAGCAACAAGGCTTTGGTTCATAGAAGTACTATTAGAGGAGTACAAAACGTCACTTCTGCTCTGTCTCACAAAGGATGGATCGATGGATGAATGGAGGGATGGCCGAGAAGATGCAGGAGGGACAGACGAGAGGATGGTGGTGATGATGATGATGATGATGATGAGACAGGTGGAGAGGACTGTCACAGAGGTAGGAAAACTTCCACATCGCTTCAGCAGAGGGAGAAAGAAAGAGAGAGACGGCTAGAAAGGAAGAGAGAGGATAAGTGTTGAAACAGACAAAAGCGAGACACACTTGCACTGTGAAGGCCCTTTTCAAGGTAGCGAATCCCATTAGGCTGTTGCACCGCCATCGTAAGGCTTTTAGGAGCGCGAAGCTATGAGATGCTAAAATCAATCGGATTTGTAAAGTAAAACACCCAATACTCTGCTGCCGTTAAGTGAAAAACAGCTATCTTACTCAGAATGTTCACACTTTCATTTCGATTTTTTAAAATACATCTGTCACTTTTTGAGCATATAATATAAATACATTTGCATTTAAAGAGCCCCGTGCATGTATGTAGTGTTTTCTTCAGGGATATGGGCCCTCCTTTTACTGTAAACAACTTTTTACGGGTCTTTAAAAAGTCTCTCTAAGGTGCGGACTTTAAGGCGAGCTTTAATTCAGTAAAATAATTAAAATGAAAAGAAACTGTTTTGGGGATTTTCCTTTCCTGTTGAAACTTTTGTATCTGTTTATGTATGTAGTTTGTTTTCTTTCTACATATTTGGGTCTTCGTGTCTAGGTCCAATGTGGGATTGAATTAATGCCTTCTGTTTTTGTTTTGTGGATCTCTTAAAAACTGTTTATGTACCTTTAAGACAGAATAACCTTCAGTGTATACTACAGTGATAATTTCTTACTATTCAGGTTAAGCTAATCTCAAAAATTTAAGGCATCAAGTCATTTGGGGCACTTAAAAAAAAAAAGAGATAAATATTGTTGTGTTATGATTATCTCAATAAAATTTCTGTGTTTATTTTTAAAGTGCTTTGATGAACGTGAACACAAGTAAGCTAAAAGAGTCCACAACTGTAAATAAAAGCTGCATTTTCCTGTCTTACCTACTTTAAGATGATAAATACATTCTATATTTTGTTTGTTGTGAACACTCTCCATTTACAGGCCATACATTTTCTCCAACTGGACCCATCAGTTATAACATATTTCCTCTTCTTTGGTAAATGTGGTAAATTCAAGGTGACGTTAAGGCATCAAGAAACAGCTAGGAAGTCTTCACATTGCTATTTCTACTAGATTCTATCGCAAAATAATCAGATAAATAGTTCCAATTCAACAGGTAAAGATGATGAGACAGAAGGAGATGCTGCAAAGATGACAACACACACGCTAACACAACCTTCTAGCTATCAGCGCACAAACACACACATCTATGCCAGCAAACACGCTAGACTACCTTTGATTTTAAAAGTCTAAGTGTCCATGTGCAGCCAAAGTTGGACTTTTTTTCCTTTCTTTTCTGTGATAAAATGAAAAAAAAAAAAAAAGACCAACTCCGACTCACGACACTTAGGCTTTTCTATTCTACTCCACCACTCCTTACAATGTTGTAGGATCTGACCCCAGAGTCCTACGGAGTATTTCTGGACAATATGTTTGCACACAGGCAACACCAGTTAGTCCTACAAAGAGGCAGAACAGACAGAGAAAAAGAAGGAAAAGAAAGATGGAGGGATGGTAGGAGTTGAGGACAAGAAAAAATGCTTGGTCAGAGAAAGCTTGAGCTGGCTTAAGCACTGTTACAGTCTTCATCATCATCAGCATCACACTTCCAGTCACAGCGCATCATGATTATCACCATTACAAAAAATCCTAACATTTAAAGTACACTTCAGCTGCCATCGGAGGCAGACACATGTAAAGGGCCAGTGCACGTATTTTGTTCTAGTTTGAAATCAAAGTTCTTGAGTCTTGTTTGCTTGTTGTGACATCAATACACTGAGCCCTTTGCATGTTGTGGTGGCGAACGAGGACGTGGATCGGAGTGCTTTCCAGAAGCGTCCCACAGAGCCGTACGCCACACTTGGCTGCTGACTTGGGAGCAGTTATAAAGGTCACTTTCAATGTAATCCATTCAACTGAATTCCAAATAGCTGCTATTAGCAACATAGTCCGTTATTTGAATCCAGTTACTTTTGGGCAATTTTACCTTCCACCAATTTATCCAAATCACTTCTTTGTTCAGTTCAACTCCAAATGGATGCCACTGTATGTGGTATCAGAATACAAGGATAGAAAAACTCCAGACCAAAAGGAATACATTAGACTGAGGTCTCAGGCCCCGCCCCGCTGTAAGCGTGTCCCTGCTTTGGCTGGCGGGAGCCATCTGCGAATCGGAGGAGGGGGGTGAAGGTGCAGTAATCTGGCGCTCTTTGCCAGCGTGTGAACATGATTTTCTTGGTAAAGGTTTCAGACCTTCGAGGGTTCGGGATGTTCCTTTGGTTTTCCGAGCCTCGCCGGTGGCTGCTGGCCTTGGGTGGGGCGTGGAGAGACGCCAAGGGGGTGAACTCCGACAGCTGGCCCTTGTAGAGTTTATCAGCATTCTGTATAAGTGTAAAAAAAAGAGGAAAAGAAGACAGAGTGGGAGAGAAGTTAAGAAAGGGAGAAGCAAGAAGTAAAAACAGAGAGGAAAACATGGTACTTGTGGAGTTCTGCAAAAAGGCCCTCAGAAAGCAGGTGGAGGTGACACTGTTGTCCCAACTGGCCAGAATTCAAACATTAGTCACAAACTTTAGATGACTTTTAGTCTTTTAGGTAGGCCCTGTAGCTCTACAAAAAAAAGGGAAATCTTAATGTTTGATCACACTTTGCACACTATTGTGTTTCCAATAGTTGGGGAGAGCACTGTAAAAAGATAATATGAAAACTCTAGTGTGGAGTCAAGTGGAGTTTGTAAAGTATGATGCCAGGAAGTTGATAAGCAATGACATAAACATATAAATATAAAAATATTGGCTGATATATCAACATTTTTTGACTATAAATAAATTGGTATTGGCCCCAAAAATCCAGTACTGATTGGGCTCTATTACAGTATATGGTACAGAGTCATGCTCTTGGAGGTTGGAGGTTCTATGGCAACAATTGGAATCAGAGTTATCATCTCATACTTCTGATTAAGCTGACTGACTTTATGCTAAGATACTAAATAAGTCCTCTGGCTGCTCCACAAGCTAACAAAACCAAATTCCATTTTACAGGGTGACTGACTCTTCTTCAGCTACAGATCAGATGTTTTGGAGTTGACTTGAGATTCTGCTGAAGACAAAACAATTTCCTCTGGCAGTGGCCTGAACCTGGACAAAAGTCTACATTAGCAGATGTGAGTTGTTTTGTATTTCAATACTATCTTTGAATCTAATTGGCCAGCTGTGACAATCATGTCTCATCCATTCTGCTGAGTGACAAGCAACGCAACATAAAACACGAAATAAATCCTTAATACCAGAAGCTTGCTTTAAAGAAACCATGCAAATGTAAACATGAACACAAAACATGCATGAATACCAGTCCCACTGTGAGTAAACAGTCGAAGGTGCCACTAGATGGCACCAAAGCTCCATGTAAGGATTCACCCTCCTGGCAGCAGGTGCCACTTACAAGACAATACCTGGAGAAATCTTGGATCCTCAAACCTTTAAGACCTTCACACGGACACATACACACACTGCAACCCATGTGTTAGTCAAATACAACGTCCCAACGTCGAAACCACACACCGCAGCAAAGTAAACCCGTCATCACACACAGCAGCAGCAGCAGCAGGGTGTTCATTTTACCGTGCTGGAGCCCTCTAGGCTTCTGTGACAGCGACTCCATCTAGTAAGGAGTCAGAACTCTGGAAGGTCAGGGCTCTCTCAAACCCTGTCTTATCCCTAACAGGCTGTGGACACACACGCAAACACACATACACATTAAGGGTCGATCACATAAAATACACACAATCTGACCTTAAAGGGACACAGAAACAAAATGTCATCAAGGCCACACTTCACAATAAATCGAGAAGCACAAGCATGCACTCAGACAAGAAGGTAACTTCATGCAAAAAAAGAAAAGAAAAGAGAAAGAAGGGATCTACACAAAGAGACAGGAGGAAAGGCAGAGGATCACCTCCAGGAGGGCTTGGTTAGAAACTCATTCTGCTGGAGGTCTGAGACAGCATAAAGATGGTGGAAGGCTCGGAGGCAAGGCATCTGCGCTTAGTCTGCCAAGGGGGAGGACCAGAGGTAGGAGCGAGGAAGGAGAGGAGAAGGGAGGAGGAATGAGGAGGTCAAAAGGAGAGTTAAAGCTCTGGAAATCAGTCAGATCTTTCAAAGAACTATTTATAAGTGAAAGCAGAAAGCAAGAGTTCTTGTTCGGCCTCCATAGAGAGGCCACACAACAGGAGAAGTCTTCATGTTAAAACTGCTATGAGTAGAAAGGATTAGAAATATCAGTTTGGGTTTCTTGAGGTTGCTTTTTAGCTCCCCACAAACACAGTTATTTGGGAGGTTATAGGAAAAAGGAGCAGTTTAGGACACAGAGGGAGAAATATGGAAGGTTGTTTGGATCTGGAGGAATCACACACATTCCAAAGGCCACACAGCTGCTTTCTTTGACATCAATTAACCAGTATGATGATAGAGGCGCTGTCCCAAACTATCCATGGTGGTATTTTATGCACATAAAATCACAATTTTTGTTTTTTTTGGTCTGAATCCTGAATCGTAAAGTATTCCTCTACTAATAAATGCCTTCTCACATTTATTATTTCGGAGCCACATGTCACTGTTTACACATCTAATAATATCAGTCTGCAGCCCACAAGTCTGGTCCATTTTTCATCCCTGACTTATCAGCATGCATCAGATAAAACCCAGTTATTCCCGCTTTTATTAAACGCCTCATGCAGGTCTGCTGATGAACTGGTTCAGCTTTTAATTAAAAAAATAATTACAAGTTAATTTTCATGATTAGTCCTGCTCCTGCATAGTCTCAAAGAAGTCAAATTAGTGCACATCTATAAGGAATGCTCTTATTCTCCTGTTTTTTTAGCAAACAATATTGTCTCCACTATCCTTCACTTTTCCCCTTTATTCCTCCTGGACAGCATTTTGCAACGTCTGTTTTTAAAAATGCTACGGAGGTAATGTTTTCTCCCTAGTATCCTGTTGTAAAAAGGGTACATCAAGTGCAAAATACATCTTTGACACGATGCTGATGAGATTTCAATGCATACTTCTGCACTCTAGCATATTTACATTTTGTCTTTACTAATGCAGCACACTTAGAAATCAAGGAGCACTGCACACAGACAGAGACGCTTACTAACTTACATTCAGCAGAGCAGGGACGTAGCCAAACCCAGCATACATCTGCTGACCCACAGTCATCAGTTAGACATGACATATACTGCACTATCGTCAGAGTACTGTTTGCATAAACACTAGGTATTTAGAGGTAAATCTGCTAAATTGATTTAAGGATAACAATAAGCAGGGGGTACTGTTCTACCTGACATTTTTATTAATCCAGAGAAATTTCAATAAAGAAGCTAACTCTACAGAAGGAGAAATGAAGCAGCAGTTCGTAGAATATATTGTCTGTGTTGGAAAGCAAAATTTTAACGGGATGTGTGGTCATCCATCATGTTACATGCTGTCTTCTTTGATAATTATCCCAAAAATACCCTGATTAATTTGAAAAAATGTTTAATTAAGTTGAAAAATTCTACAATTGAGAGTGCAGTTCTATTACTTTTCAAGTAAATGTTCAAGCAAACTATTCCTGTGGAGTGCTCAGTCCACAAAAAATGAGATTTTCTTTTATATTATCATGTTATTAAGTCCAACATAACTCTTTAATTGTATATGTGTGTGTACCCACCTGTATGCGTTCAGTCGTGGTGGGCCACAGCGCCCTCCAGATGACCTTCTTCACCACATCTGGCAGCAGACTGGCTGTTATCAGAAGGATAATACTGAGCCAGGCAGGGCCACTGGACAACATCTGCATGAACACATAGTACATCCTCTGGTAGTTGAGGAAGGGCCTGTGGGATAGGAGAAGATGTAGCAGTAACATCAATAAAAATATTCATTTGTTCAACCTTTATTTATACTCTAAATGTGAATTGAAATCATTTTCAGATGTAGGTGTAGGCACACAAATAAGAAACTCGAATAAGAACATTTAAAGTCAAAATGTTGTGAGAAATCCATCCAACGTTTCATAAAGGTACAAGCATGTTTTGTGAAACCGACCAGATGATTCCGCCCCACAGCAGAGAGAAGACCACAAAGAAGATGAGCGAGCCCCAGATGACAAAATGGTTGATCCAAGTCCAGTAATGAGTATCTAGAGCGAGCTACAAGACAGAGACGAGACCTTTAAAATGCACAACTCACTTTAATTGCATCGCTGAGAATTCTTGCTCAGGTGTTTCTGTTTGTGTAGACGTTGTGCAGACTGCATCTGTGCGTCTGTGAATGTGGTTACCTTGAATGTAACGGTGAAGACCAGCACAGTGAAGACTAGTGTCCCAAATGTCCAGTTTCCAAACATCTGCAGAGGAAAAGTGGTAAAAGCTGCTGTTAGTGACTCATGTCCATCGTGTCAAATCAGTGATTACACAACCAAGGTTTTTACAATTTGTGGTATAATGTCACAGAATTAGCTTGAATCTGAAGAGGTTCTAAGCAGCTGTTTAACTATAAAGTTTGTTTCAAAATAATGCTTATTAAATGCTTAAATATCAAGAATTCACAAATAAATACACTCATGCTTGATAATTTTAGAAAAACCTCACTGAAGTTCTTAAGATGAACACAGAGATAAACTTAAGCACACAAGTTCATTAAGGAATCAATCAATCAAACAGATGGCAGGGTGCTCAGGCAGCAACATTTAGGAGAAGAGTAGATTAAAGGATGACTGATGGATGAAATGTCTCCTGATAACCTACATATACATTATTATACCAATATTTTTACATTTCAGATGAGCACAAAATAGTCGCGTAAACTTAAGAAGACATGAAGCAGAGTTCCTTCAGAACTGGTTTGGAAGGAAACGTTTCAATGTTGGCTTACAACAAAGAGAATGACAGTGATTAACCTTAACACTTTACTGTATTGACATTTTATTATAATATTTGGGATTATTTTCCTAAATCAAAACTATAATAATTTCTTGTCATAACAGTTTCATTTAGCCTCCCGCGCTGGCCTAACTTGACTAACATGCCCCTCTATGACACCCTTAAATGTGATATATGAATAAATGAATCAAAACGAAGAGTCTGAAAAGATCAAATTTAGGTTTTTCTAAATGTTGGGTTATGTGATGCTGACATGATGGCGACAAATGAGATATGACAGTGATGACTTTTAACTTTGACTTTGTTTCACATGATGAAAACACACAGACTACTTTGCCCATTAAATCCCCAAAGACTATGTTTTAACACATTTATTTATAACATCATCTGGTGTGCCCAAGTTGTAAGAAATGTCTTTGATTCTTTAATAGCTCACGTGATCTGTTATTGTCATTTTTTAGCTCTGCAGTGGTAGTTGTATGAAGCAGAAAAAGTATTTTATCAAAGGTTGCTTAAAAATGTATTTAGAAACTTAAAATCTGATTTTTTTTATGTTGATCCATCTACCTTTGAAAGTTGTTGTACCCAGTGTACCCAATGTAAACTCTCCAATATATCTGACTAAATAAACTAAAACATTACTGCCAATTTCCTTGCATCCACCTCTGTTATTTCTTTACAAATAAGCCCATAAAAGTCCTAATGTTTCAGAGAGCAACCACAAATCTGACTACTCGAAAATGAGCCCCATCGACTGTAGACGAATTAGATTAGAAAGATGGATAAATATCTCAAATGTCACATAATGGACAGAGGAGCAGAAATGTTTCTCTGTTTTCATTTATCCCCTGCTTTTAGGAGAAGTCAAAACACACTGGCATCTGCCACACACACAAACAACACACACACAGAATGTGTAACGAAGGTGTGATCACTAACAGCGGGACACATGAGCATGGATCTAGGAGAGGGCGGGTCACTACACAAAAGCCTACAGGTGATGTGTCTAGAACAGGCATTAAGGGCTCGATGTGAGATGAGTGGGGAACGGCAGCGTGTATCAGGTTGTGTGATGGTGACGAAACTGGAAAGTGAAACTAGGGAGAGATGACAGAAAGACAGGGGACAGGCTTACCATCTGTGTGTTGGTTGTCATTAGCTGGGAGGAGGAAAGAGAAGCAAAAAGAAAAAGCAACACAAAGGTAAGAGGATAGGAAGAAGAGGAAGAAGAAGAAGAAGAAGAGGAGGAGGAGGATATGGCCAGAAGAAAATTATAATGAAATAAACAGTTTTGTGGCTGAAGAGAAAAAAATATATATAAATTAGGTGCAAAAATCAAAATAAAGCAATCCAAAACGTTTCTAGGAGAGTAATGCTGCTTAAAAATCAAAGGAAACAAATCGAGAACACAGAGAAAGATGGTAGAAAACCTGCCATGCTGTCATGTCGTTGATGTGATTGGAATAACATCAAGTCTTTACTAAAGTGTTACAACAGCAGCCTGTAAACTTTTGCAGCCTGGTTTTTACAGTCAAATTCAACAGAAATGCACAGGAAGGTGAGAACTAGATATGTGCCAGAACATTACCAACACGTGCTGCACATTTATTTTAAAAACGAACTGCATATGTTTAGAAAAAAAAAAAGTACAGCAGATATGACGTATGATACAGAATAAGCATTTTAAGAAAAATAGTCAGATCATTAAAAAGTGTTGCCTGGTTGATTTATGGTACCTGCCATGCTCACTGAATACAGTAAACCTTTAATGTTAGCTGGTGACACACCCTGACAAATGATCTGCAAGCAACTACTGAAGCCTGCGACACAATAATAAGCTACACATCAGGCTTTAGCCACACTGTTAAATGAGCTACATCATATGACCTTGTTCAAGAAATGGTGGCCTGAATAAATCTATTTCAGATGGAAATCAGGGAGTAATTTGTTTTTTTGTTTAATTTACAAAGCATCACGTAAGATGGAAAAGGTCACAGATAAGTTGTGATCAAGTTTGTTTGGTTCATGCTCGAACTAAACTGAAAACCCAAAAACTAAAAAAAAGATGACAAGCAGCAAATTTTAGATGTGGTCTGCATTTGAATCTAAATATAAATGTACAACCTCTTCCGTTATAAGCTGAGCTACTGAAAAAATGAGGTGCAGGTAATTCTGATTAATACAAGGTTGGGAAAAAAAGCCAGCAATAAAGTGGGTATTTTAATTTGAAAGATGTAGCGTAAATAGATAAATTAAAGACAAGAAAAGATCTGTCTGTCATAGACACACATGGCCGTTACCTGTCCGTTGCTGGTGAAGGTGGTGTTGTCAAACAGAAAGTAAGCACCGAAGAACATCACGATGGCATCATATACACCCAGGATAGTCCAATATATGAAGATGGGCCACCGCAGCAGAGAGTTCTTAGCAATATCTCTGAGAAGATGAACACAAAAACACAGTTAACGTCACAAATGATGACAACCTCACCTTTGAGTGATTGCACATTTATCAATCAATACTATGGTACATTGTCTGCCTTTGGGAGGCTCCTCTACCAGAAATGAACGTAAGAAGATATTTTAATTTGATTGAGTTAGAATTATAATGTAGGCACACAAACACTGAAGTTCTGAATAACCCAAGGTCATTCATTACTCATTGCTTTTGACAGCGATGATGCATTTTTGTGACTTGCACAGTTTCGAAGAAAGGATTCAGCCCGAGGGTAAAAATGCTTTGTCTTATCATGTGACACCTTTACTTCACACTTTGAAAATGCTGAAACCCTGAGCATCAGAACACAAGCAACTTAGATATGGAGGTTTCTGCCCTCCCTGACCTTTTCTAAATTTATTAGATGTCTTCCTTTGTAAAATCAATAGATAATGTCTGTGTCTACACTTTATTAGAGCTAAATTGAGTTTGTGTGTCCCTTTGCTTTTGAAAATACTTCATCTTCTATTACATTGTACACAAAGAGTCCAGTGGAGGGTGTTACAATGTTTAAAATAATCTGAAATTTAAATATTCATTAATACTGTGCTGGTTGGTCGATGTCTCTGGAACGTTCGAACTAAAGTGAAGCCGGCTTATTGTGAAACAGATGGTTCGTTATTATTATCTACTGATTGGATTATTGAAACATCCATCACTGAACAGATGATATTAGAGAGTTGAACTAACTCCATTAAGACTCTGGAGAATCCTAACAAACAGAGTCTGACTGAAGAGGTGTGCATGACAGAGAGAGTGGAGATTTTATGTTCATACATGCTGATACCAACCTATAGAGAGAGGGGTCCTTCTTCAGGATGTCCATATTAATGTGCTGCTCTATTAGACTGTACAGCAGAATGGGCAGCGAGGTAAAGCTGATGTTGTAGAGAGTCAAGTAGGCTGTATCGTACAGTGGCTGGGGTTTAGGATAGAGAGTGTTAGTGGGTTTTTTGTTTTCCTGGTAAATGAATAATTTAAGATTCAAAATGTATTTTGCCTACTTGTTGTGAGAAGCCACAAAAGAACTGGTAGAGGAACTGAGGGAAGATGAAACAGACATTCTGGGAAGAGAAACAAAACAAGTGAGAGGAAAAGCAGACAGCAGGTCCACAGTTGTAGCAGCGAATAAAGCTGTATTAATGTTCCTTTTGTCTCTAAAGCCTGCTGAGATTTATAATTCTGACAGTTTTAGTTCCTTTTTGCTTCTATACAAGAATATATCACTGGAAATAACAAGTAAAGGCACTACTCTTTTTGATCGATGCCTGTTGTAAGCAACAACTAAAGTCAAAAATTTGCTGGTCTACTGAAGCATTTCTTCGCAAAACATGACAGCACAAAACTAAATCAATGGTAAATAAAGCAAATGTTGAGATGCAACACAGGCAGACTACCTTGTAGAAGAAGTACTGCACAAGCTCAGAGATGCGTATGTAGTAATAGTGTCCATGAACGAGCAGCATCTTCTTGAGGTGTTTGAACTTTGGGATGGCGTAGTCGCTGTTCCTCACTGCCTGGCGACCCTCTTTACCCATTATACCTGCAGCCATTAAACACATGAAAATTTTTTTTGCGGGGCCACCGTTTTGTTTTTTACTGTTTAAGCTCTTCTGCTAAATACTGGATTTGAAGTAATGACAACAAGGTGAACAATTTTGTCAGGTTGATCATTTTTTTTATACGTTTCTTTTTTCCAGTTTTAGGATAAAGCAGGAAAACAACCATACCGAACATACTATGGCTCATCTGTCACATGACACCAATCAAACTGGTTTTGCTTGCTTTCAGTGAGGAGCACACTTTATTTATTTATAGGTTAGCTTGTCCTTCACATACAGGAAATTGCGCATAAGAACTGCTGCAGTTCTTTCACTGCCAAGCGAATTAATCAATAAGTTTTGAAACGACACATGCAGAATGCATTAATTTTGATAAAATGTTACATTTGCAACATTAGAATTGGTTAATTTTTCCAATAAACTGCATGTTACACATTGTCACAGGATTGTGGTAAAGTTAAAAAACAGACAATTCTTTCCATCATGGTTTTGCAGATTTTTAAAAGATAACACTCCTTTCAAACCAGACAGCATGTTTTGGGGATGAGAGGGTTAATATAAAGTCATTGTACAGAAATATAGAATGCTAATGTAAAATGTGTTTGTTCTAGAATGCTAACCGATGCCAACATGGGCCTCCAGGATCATGCTGACATCATTGGCTCCATCTCCAATCGCTAGTGTGATCGGATGCTCCTTGGATGCTTTGATCAGCTTGACAATCTAAAAATAATAAAAAACAAAAGATATACCTGATACACAAAGTATTACAAGTGTATGTGCAATTATATTTCAACTGCTCTAAACCTACAATACAGGGGATGTTTTCTGTTTTCCCCTCAGCTCTCTTCATACCTGTGCTTTCTGGAGCGGTGCCATTCGACAGCAGAGCACAGCGCTGCAGTTGCGGCAGATTTCCAGGAAGATCTCTTTATAATTCCCTGAGTTTGAGTCCTCCTGGCCAGGCCTCATCACCGCAGAGAGGGTCGCTCCATCGATGATCAGACCATAGTCGGTACAGTCGCCTGATAAACTGAACAAACACGAGACATAATAAGCCACACAGGACAGCCTTTCACAGCCAAATTGATTTAAACCCTGACATAAATTTGCTGCCTTTTATTTTTTAATTGGCTATTTTAAAGTGTGTTTTTGTAGAACTTGGAATGATTTCCACTGCGAATGTACACCTTTCACTTGAAATGCTGACTGCTTGCCACAATGTTAGCAAGAAAATAATCTTTCACAAATACACACCCAGAGAAGGTGTCTCGGGTCATGCCTCCATGCTGCCGAAGAACTGTCCTGCTCAGGTCAAACAGGACATCGTGAAGGCTCTGCTCCTCTGTACGCTTGGTGGTCAGCTCCAGGATCTGCGTGTTGCGGCGAAACAGCTTGCTGGCGTAGCAGGTTGCAGCTGCCGTCTCCATCTTATCTCCGGTCAGCACCCACACCTTCATACCAGCTTTGTGGAGAGACTCGATGGTGTCTGCTGCTTTTTCCTGGAGCCTATTGAGGAGTAAAGTGGGAAAGCACAGACGAGAGGGGGAGAGAGAGAGGGGTCGAATGTTTTAGTTGCATAAGATAAATGCGCTTGTTTTGCTCTTATTTGACTTTTATTCAGCAGCAACAGAACCATGCAGTGTAACAAAACTCAGATCATTTTCTCTTTGTGCAGGATGAGTTGACTTGGAAGGCCCTACGGGTTAACAATTCCTTTTAAGCCTGCACTATAATTGCCTTAGTGGCACGTGTGCGATTGGAGGGTTGAACTGCTACTTGCCCTCACTCACTTGGGCTCCCTCAGAAGTGGGCCAGCACTTCTCATGGCAGCAGCACACAGAGAATTACTGTAGTGCTCAGAATTGTGTGGGATGCAGAGACTTATACATTCACACACAAAAAATACACAAACTGAAGTGTGTAAGTGTGCTTCATTTGAAATTTGAAACCACTCTGCTTCTGAAACTATAGGGCCATTGAAGGGCTTAAGTGTAGGAATAAATAACTAAAATGATCCCAGCGAGCAATGCAAAGTGTGGCCATGCAACAGCGCTACAAGCTGTGGTCAAAACATTTGATATAAAGGCAGGCTGTTGATATAATTCGCCCATAAAATTGTCCTTTAAAAGAGATCCTCCACCTGTCCTCCACAGCAGTGGCTCCCAGCAGTATCAGGTCTTTCTCGATGAGGTCGTAAGCCTCAGCCAGCCGTTTGTCTCGGTCCTGTAGTGCCAACTTGGCGCTGCTGAGCAGATGGCAAACCTCCTGGTACTGTTCGGGACTTAAAGGGCGATAGGCAACACAAAGTGTTCTCAGACCCTCCTGGAAGACAGGAAGGAATTTACACAAGGTTAGACATACAATACACATACAAGGAAGCAACAATAGAGAAACTATCCACAGTAAACATCTCAAACATTGCTTTGCATGACTCTAAACAAACAGCAAAACAAAGGTATTTGTTTGAGTCAGTTCTCTAAGTGCCTGTAGTGTGTGGGCACAAACTGCCCTTTCTAGTTGAGCCTCACTATTACAACACCCACCACATATCTTTCCATTCCCATTGAAAGCTACAATTTATCTGCAGCTGCAACCTCTGCAAGCGAGCTCCTACTGACCTGGTTTTCACTACAAGTTCCATTCACTTCATGAAGTTCATGCTAATGGTAAACTGAGCTCAAAATATCTCTCTCAAATAGCTTTAATCTGGTGAACTAAACTCAATATTTAGCTCTGCACTTTATGCACATCATGCAATGAGGATTAGCAGTTAACCGCTTGATTATGTACTCTTCCCCTCAAGCTGCCTACGTCTATTAAAGCTGACTATTTCTACCATTTTTTACAAGCATTTTGGACAATCTATTGTGGGTGTGTAAGGATTGCAATATATTGATGAACAGTCCATCAAAACACATCTTGTGGTTGTATGGCTGTCTGTTCAGTGTCCCACATAACAAGAACTGGGCTGAATATAAATTGACATATATGTTAAAACAAAAACAATGAAATGAAACTGCTCAGGGAATTTTCTGTCGATCACAAGTCACAATGGACCTTTTATGGAAAAATACAGCACGAGCATTAGATGGAAGTGGGCCATGCTCCTCTGATTGACTTGCTGTGGTAGTCATGGAAACCGTGGTCATGTACTCTCACTGTGGAAACCACCGAAGTCATATAACCTTTGAAACTTTCGGAAATGTTCCAAGCGAGAAAGACTTCCAGTTAAATGTATGTGTCTATTAGGCAATGAGAAAGATTGTGTGTGTGTGATCTCTCACCACCGCATTGTGCTCCACTCGAGCTCTGACCTGATCCACCTTGCCTGAGATAACCCTGGGGAAGATGGAAGAGTCTGCGCCTTTACAGAACAGATACAGTTCACCTGCTCACACACACACAGAAGCAAAACCAAAAGTCTGTTAGAGGAAAAACCACACAATACATTCACACAAAATGTCGATAAGTATATATACACATCTGCAGTTTTATGTGTGTTACCAGAGTTGGATCTGACAATGACGCTCATCCTCCGTCTGACCGAGTCGAATGTCAAAACCTCTAGCAGCTCAAACCTGAAAGTCCAGAGATACAAATTTTATAGTCAAAAACAATCATCTTTGTTCTAAGTTCATACTCTTGACTGAATGGCTTGTTTACACTATTACGGAGCCATTCCACTTGATGAAATTGTGGCGTGATGTTACAGAAATGCACATGCAACTTAGATCACAGCTTCAAATTCATACTACATAGATGCTAATCAAACTGTGTAAGTATAGCAACATGCTGAAATTCGAAACAGCAAACAAAAACAAGTGAAAGCAGTGATTTTAGAAGAACATAATCCAGTCAAAAGTGTGTGTTAAAGAAAACAACAATAAAAATAAATGATCCCAGAAGGGTTAAAGAAATAATAACATTGTTTTTAGGGGCACACTCACCTCTCAATCTCATCCTCCCTATTTAAGATTTCCATCTGACCGTCCTTGAGTCTCAGATAGGTGAAACCGAGCCTGCGGCACAGATAAATGGGGGGAAATGTGTCAAAAAAAAGATCTGGAAACTAAATTCCTCTGAATGCTCTTGTGCTTGTGTGCAGTCGGTGATTATTGCTAGTGTTGTGTGCGTGCGCCCCACCTCTTCATGCCCTCCACCAGCGCCACTTCGTCCGGAGAAGAGGAGATGTAGAAGGAAGACGACTTGCCCTGGTGGATGCCATGCTTGATCCCGTCCACCGTCTCCTCCTCTTTTACCTGCACCGTGTGGCACAAGCACAGCGCCCGGAAGAACAGCTCCTCGTGCTCCTGCGGTAGACGATCATCACTGTGTTACCCCCAGGTACGATCACATGCATGACAACGTACAGACATTCAAAGTGTGGTGATGCTCACCCTGGCTTTGGGGCCTGGCGATGTGTCAATCATGTCCATACCGGCGGCACCAGGCATCACCTAGCAACAACATTTTATCAGAGTTAACAGGAAAAATGTAGTCTTTGGTGATCAACTGGGCAAACACAGCTGTCTTGTCTGTTTTTTTGTTTTGTCATTTGACATTAACAGTCATGTCATTCTGTCACTTCAGAACAAAGAGCTGCGCAAAATGTCTGCATATGAATAGTTAAACATCCACTGGGTTGTTACCTGTCCGTTACAGATAACATGTGGTACATAAACATGTCCGTCCACACAACACTCTATGAACTCCATGTTGTTCTCTGTCAGAGTCCCCGTCTTGTCTGTAAACACATACTCCACCTGGAAGGAGAGCAGGGTAAGCGTTACTGCAAGGTCCACTCGTTTCATTTACACATAAGTTTTTGAAAACCTGGATTGCAAGGTTGTCATACATTCACCGAGTGTTTACAGGTAATATTCTTATATGAATTTCTGAATCATCTGTCTGTATGAAACAGTAATGTTTGTTTTTACATTAGTATGCTCAGATTAAAGTGTTTTTGTGCTACCTGTCCCAGCTCCTCATTCAGGTCTGATGTGTTGACCACAGCTCTCTCCCCCAGCTCCTCGTCAAACATCTCATCATCCCACATGATGAAGTAGGAGCCCAGGAACTTCTGCATCTCCACAGTGACGTACATCGAGACAGGAATGATGTAGTTGAAAAGAACCATGAAGGCCAAGAAGTCTGTGAATGCCCTGATCAGCTGTGGAGGAAGAGGATGAGAAAGTAAGGCGCTGATAAAGAAATCTTGATTCTACCAAAAATTTAGGGAATGAAATGAGACTCACAACATGTCTCTGCCTCTCAACTTCTGTCCTCTCGTTGTACCAGGGCTCATCTCTGTTTGGGTCGGCCTGCCATGCATATTTCAGCACTGTGTTGATGACAGCTTTGCTGATGAGAATGCACAGGTAGACCACCAGGTAGGCATTCATTGATCTGTAGAGGGAGGCAGCAAGCAGACAGTGAGGCATTAGTTCATAATTATAGTGTTTATAGCAGGGGTGTCGAACTCTGGTCCTCCAGGGCCGCAATCCTATATGTTTAATATGTTTCCTTCTTCCAACACACCTGATTCAAATGATCAGCTCATCATCAAGCTCTGCAGAAGCCTGATAACGATCCTGGTCATTTGAATCAGGTGTGTTGGAAGAAGGAAACATCTAAAACATGCTGTATAGGGGCTCTCAAGGACCAGGATTCGACACCCCTGGTTTATAGCATACAAAGCATTTTTAACTACAGCTGCAACAATAAGTCGATTTATCAATTAGTGGTCACCTATTAAATTAATCGGAAACTATTTTGATAGTCACCTATGCAATTTCAGTCATTTTCAAAGAAAAAGGTCAAAATTCTGTAATTCCAGCTTCTTAAATTTGAATATTTTCAGTTTTTTTTATTTTATTCCTCTTTGACAAAAAACTAAGCATGTTTGGATTACAAGCAAAACAATATATACCAGAACATCATCAAAGGTTTTGGGAAATGCTGATGGACATTTTTCTCCATTTTCACATTTTATACACTAAATAACTAGTCAGTTAGTGAAGAAAATCAATAATAAACATAATTGTGAATGATGAATGATCATGATGAATGAATTGTGAAAATGGGCGCTAACAAAAAAGGGAAAAAAGAGATTTTTTCTACCAATACATTTTTAAATATGTGCTGGATCAACAAACAAAAAAACAAAACAAAACAAAAACAGACTCGACTTGGTGCAAAACAGCAAATATTCACATTTCTCAGTACTCTTTCTCGCACTGGGTTGAGACAAGAACATGAACAGGTGCAAATGACCTAAGTATGAAAGGGATAACAACAATTTGAACCAGTTTGGAAAACTGTCTGTCACATTGTATTAACAATAAACCTATTTCTGATTCACAGGCAGAAAGTAAGTAGAGGTCAGTGAAAATTGCTTCCCAGTTCCACAGATAAAAGGCAGTTTGGAAAGAAACACACAACTTGTCAGAGTAGATAATGGAGAAAAAGGGAAAAAGCTTAGATAAAACATTTACTCTGAGCCAAGTCAATTTTGATAAAAGGAAGACAAATGCAAATCCAATGAGTTAATCAGGCAGACACAGTAACCAAGTGTAAATGTAATCCACCTACAGTCATTTCTACAAGCCATCTGGATACAAGACTCTGTCAATGCCAGATGGAAAGAAAATTGATCTACTCAGTGCAGCGAGCCACAGAGACACACAGACCCTCAGTCAGTGAATAAATGAAGACATGAAAAGTGAACAGATGGATAGAAGGATGGGTAAAAAATATCAATGATTATCTAAGCTAGTGTTAACTGAGAAAAAGGACGCTGCCAAAGACTGCGGAGCTTGCATAAGAATGTCAAACGATGCTACCAGGTTATTTTCAGAAACAATTTGTCATGTGAAAGAAAACGAGAGAGGGAGCTCACTTTTCCACTGCGGATCGCTTCTGAGACTTGGACTGGTAGTTGAGCGCCATCTTGGTTTCCATGCCGGTGTAGATGGCAACAGCTACAGAGAGGGAAAGAGTAGTCTTTTTAAAACTGGCTACAGCATACCAACTTCTATGACACGACGAGAATATGCCATTTGACAATTTGACATCTTTACAAAGTCCAACAGTCTTCTCTGCCATGCAAAAAAGAAGAAGTAGCTGGTAATGTCCAACATTTATTAGTGCATCGAGTATAAATTACCATAAATATATTCAGTGTTCTTGAGTGTGGCTCCTCGGAGCAGCAGGTTCTCCGATCCCAAAGGCCTGCAAACAGGTCGTAGTTAGTAAGGGGCTAAACTGGTCTTTACTGTAACAAAAAATAAAATAAGAAACACTCAGATTCTTTCAGTATGTTAGGGATTCAGATTACCTGGCCACCGGTTCATTGTCCATGTAGACGTTTATACGGCCCACGAATCTGGGGTCGGACAAAAGAGAGGAGAAAAGAAGCGAGATAAGACACGTTTCAGATATTTATTTGGCAGGAAAGCTTTGTTCAAGTCTGTGTGTGGGTGTGTGTGTGTGTGTTGTACTGACTTGTACAGGTCTGGCTGCGGTTGTTCACATTCTATAGTGGCGTGGATAGAGTCCACCTCCTTCTCTGTGTTGTACGCTTTAGTGTCCTGAACTGCATAGTATGTCTGGGTGGGGAGAAGGGAGTGGAAGTAGGAAAGGGTGAGGAAATCAAAAAAAGAGAAAGGGAGGGAGTGTGAGTAAAAAGAGAAGGAATTCAGAAGGAGGTATAGAAGAAGACGTTTGAGGGGAAGGAGGTGAGATGATGATAAAGAGGGGTAGGGAGGAGGGAAGTAGATGAGCCAGAAGGAGATGGATAAATAGATGGATCAATGTATAAGGACATAAAAAACAGAAATCACAGTAAATTGAGATCATTTTACATTTGATACATATAAAATAGATAAATTGGATAAAGCAAACTAACTTTATCCAACATACCTTGTGGCTGCTCTCTCCATCCAGACTGGCTGTCGTAACGAAGCACGTCCCGTCATCTCGAGATGAGGAAAGAAGGATGAGATCACAGGGGAAACTCTCATCTTCTTTCACCAAGACGACATCTCCGACCTGACACAGAAAAACAAGAGATTTTTATTAAATGCTATGTTGAGCAGAGTGATTATTTATCTATTTATTTTAGATTTTATTCATTCTTTTTATTAGGTGTCTGATATATCACAAGAGTAAACAAACATGGATCAGCTTAATACCTCAAAGCAATAAATTTGAATCATATGCATATTTAAATTTATCTCAGGCCACTAATGCTACTATTGTCTATTCGTCTTTGCTTGCTCTGGTTACTCAAACCTCTGCAGTTGTTTGCAGTGCTAACATTTCTTTGGATGAGATACAGTTCAGCCTCTTCAAGGGATGCCATGGCACTTATTGCATTACTTTCTAGTATTATTAATGCAGTTTCTCCTCATGCAGTTTAACTAACAAGCTTATCTTGTGCTTAAACAAATGCAAAGCTTTCAAGTTCAGCCAAACTATAAACATTTATTTTATCTTCTCTGGAAAACAGCAGAGCCCCTTTATCTGTTATTTCAACTCTGTGTTGTTACGTAACGTCCATTAACGTCATAGTTTTTAAAGCTAACGGACATGTGGGCAAACACATGTACACGGAGCTTAATAGTAGAAAAATCCCTCGGCATGAGCGAATAAAACAAATGCACCGATGCTCTGTTGGTGTAATTGGGAGTGGGAGTGATTTATCTAGTGACACACACACTCACACCCACACACATACCCTGAGCTTGCGACTTTGTTTGCGGACCACTTTCCCGTGCTGCACCACATGCACAGGACATTTGTTGACAGCGTTGTCTGCTTTGTGTCTCAACCAATCCTCATAACCCTGAGAGAAAGAAAGAGACAGAGAGCGGGATGGGAAAAGTGATAACGTGTGTGTGTGTGTAGGTGTTGCTGTCGGTGTAGAGTTTCCTGTCAGTGCCCATAAAGCAGCCTGAAGTGAAATTAACTAAAGCGGTCATGAAAACCTTTGTGTCTCACCTGTTTGATGGCGGTGACTGTGATGACAAAGAAGAGTGGCAGTCCGCTGGTGATCGGACTGGTGGGAGTGTCGATGATCAGCTGAAGTGACACGCACACATAAAAATTGACTGACGGAGACAGATTTAGGGCAAGAGAATATATCAAAATGACATACAGCTGCAAAGAGGCAGTAAGTCATATCTGACCTTTATAGGCTTCTACAGGGGGGTAATAAGAAGTCCAGATATATTGATAGACCTTCTGTCCTTTTGCACTCACAAATAAGCAACAGTTCTTTTCATTACTTGGACTGACAGCTACATTCACCAATCCTATAAATTTAACTGCGGGAACAACACACACGTTTATCTAGAAAATTGTCAGGTGACATATTTTCCCATTATGTTGTAACCACTGTCTTTATTCTGTAGCTTTGTCCTGTTTGTTTGCAGCCAAACTGTCTCTAATATACACATAAAATAACTGATAATCCTTGCTGGAAAACTACTGTGTTGGGGCACCTACTAACAAGACTTATGTGATATTAAACTGAATGAAAAACTGTAATGACTGCAGTGCTTCAGACTAATTTTTTCACCTTCCCACAGGCAAAACACATGACTCACTGAACATGTTCTTATCAATAGATGCTACAATTTACCAATGTTCCCTGAACGCCCCACATTGCAGGCTGCGGTGGCTGTTTTGTGTGCTGCTGTGGTCAGACAGGTGTGCGACCAAAAATGACCCTGAAAAGAGTAAACTAGGGCGTTCTAATGTCACATTTGTCCAAGCTGATACTCGTGATTTTTTCTACATGTGCTGTTTTCTATGAGCGAAAAAACAGCAAATGCATGTGTGCTCTGTTTTCAGAAGAAGACCTCATTTTTAAGTGCAACTACAGCAGTGCACTGAAGTTATAGAAGTACTACTTTCCACCACTGTGGTTAATACAGTAGCTGCCGGTTACAGCGACACCAATATATCATGCAATCGCACCAATGTGACCGCATGAAATTTGAACTCGCACACTCTCAAAGAAATGCTTCAGCCTGGAGCCCTAGACTATGACAAATACAGAATATTAGGCAAAATATGCAAACTAATAATTTTTAGGATAGAATCGTGCATCAGTGTAAATCGAAAAATCTTTTACCTGAACCAGAAATATGATGAGAAAGTAGAAGTTGGCGACCCTCCTGAACTGCTCAAACATATTCTTGGGGATGAAGTTCCAAAATGTGTACTGGAAACGTGAGAGTCAAACAATACATTAATTATGAAAAAAAGGAAAATAAAATCCCTCAAAGTGCCACACTCTCATCATTTTCATGTCACATCCAGTGGTAATTCAAAGAGACTTGATGTGACACCACATGAAGCTTATTCTAGTTTGCCCACATATGCAAAAACACAAACAGCAAAAGAGGAAAACAAAGAGACTACCAATGTAAGGTATGCAAATAGTTTCATGCTTTGTATTTTTTGGCAGGCAGCATGTGGAAGTACAATGTTTTGTTTTCTATGACGCACAGGATAATGCTTCTTTGTACAAACACAGGAATCAAATACTAAGAGGATGTGTGATGAACAGACAAACAGTTTCTTTTTAACTGATGTTACTGTGATGATAAATGGATATTCTGATCCAAATATGGGCATATTGTTAACCATAGCCATGGAAAGCATTTTACAAAACTGGAAAGAGTACAGACTGATCAATAAACCATTGTCTAAAGTGGCTAAACATCCATTATATCACTTAGTCTCCCTTTCAAAACTTCACTGAGCTGCCTTTCCAAAACAGCGTCCTCATACCAGGAATAATTTACACGCACAATAAAAAAAACAAGCTTCAATAGAGCTGTAGTGCTAACTGTTCTGTCCTGCTGTGCCCACTTGTTTTATCACTGACGCCCTGCTCGCTTAGTAAACTACACAATACAGATTCTGAATAGGAAAGAATAATGAGTGAGCTCTTACTATATTTTGGCAAGATGTTAATGAATTGTGTCTTTGTGTGAATGCACAGGTGCTTTCACTGACCTTAGACGAGACAATTCTGTTGTCGGGAAATCTTTGTTGTATGAAGGCCTCGGTTCCTGGAGGAGGCTCCTTATGTCCGATGTAAATGGTCCTGCTGTCCACCCAGTTCTCCTCACCAACACACTGCGGGGAAACAACAAAACCACAATCCAGGTTTGAGTATTCTTAAACATACAGGAGTTTGTGTGGGTCAGTTTTCATCCTAATTTTTTATTGCGCTTCACTGTGTGATGTTTTGGATCGACACTTCTACATCAATCTATGACGTCACGATGTGGCTGTATAAACGTATGAGACACACAGAAACAGACATCCACAGAGGATTACAATTAACGAGTAAATTCTCCTCGATGAATGAGGGCTTTTGTTGCCACGGATACACAGACTTGCATGTGACTCAGACTGGAATGCAGAAAGCACACACACAACTCACACACAGTGCCCACACACACACACACACACACAGAATGATGACACACCTGGAATCAACCTGCTGTGTTAAACTCTGACACCTGGAATCTCTGTGTTGATGCTCCTCTTTTGTTCTTTGGCATCTGTCTGTTCTGTTTTTCTTGTCTTCAGGGGAGAAAACACCCTGAAGTACTGAAATCAAACGCTTTACTCTTTTTGTTACATTTTCCTGGAAAGACATCCACGTCTTTCTGTTTTTTCTCAACACATCCAGCACATTTATGACCAGTGTTACTAGGCATAGTATACAGGCCTGTAAAGACTGCTTAATATTAACAGTTAATTGGGTTATAGCAGTTCCATTGTCTCCAGTTTGAGTGCCAATGAATTCTTTATGCAAATCATTCTGAATTCTTTAAAAATGCCCAGACACTGAATGGTCAAATGGTCCCTTTCATTTACAATCTTTGCAGTTTCCCTGTCTTGAGAGCAATTTTAGATGCTCAAAGACCAAATACAAACTCCACTTTTCTTCTTTTCTGTTCCTGTTCACACTCGCTTCCTCAAGCTATCCATTTATTTTTGTTTTTAAAAGACAAGTTTTCATTACACCTTTTGAAACTACTAATTACAACATAACAGGGGTTGGACTACTCTAGACTGAGGAGGCTATTGTATGAAAACAACCAGTTAAACCTGAAAAATGCAAGTCAGACATATGGACTTAAAGTATTTCCTGCAGGACGGGACATGCATGGGAAATGCAAACTCAATTTGGAGAACACACACTAATCAGGCTCGAACTCTTGCAGCGTTTACAAAGTTGGTCAAAACCAAACCTACACAAATTCAAGAGGGGAGATTTTTTTGTGCTGATTTGCTTGTTTTTATTCACATCATGTACTTAAATGTGCTTTGAAATTCAATACATTCATCCACAACAACTAAAGTGACTATTTACTCACAAATTAAGGTTTTGCAAACAAAGCATATCATGCATTTTTAAAATAAGTTGCACTGCTAAAGAATAACCATCTGAGCCCCAAGTAATCTCTGGGCATTTTTGCTTCTGTCAGTATTTTCTACTGCAACGATAAGTCATGCACCTCTTTTTTAAAATGACAATTGAATTTTTTTTTGATCACTAATTTTACAAAAATGGAAAAAATGTGTACAACATTTTTCCAAGTGTCCACATGTGCCAACAATACTGAAATAATGGTCGTTCCACATAGTATAGATGTTTTAGTTTTTAAATTTTTAATTCTATTCTGCTCTACGTAAACACAGCCCGCGGTTCAGTCCAATGCAGCGGAAAAATGCCAGTTTTTTTGTCAGAGTAAAGTCATTTTGATAAACTATCAGATCACACGTCTTTCAAACCTGCCAGTGGGTTTTGGGGGTCAGAGAACTGACCTACTCAAGAGAGGAGAAAAGTTTATATTCACTACACTTTCTGTTAGTATTAAATAGCTGCCTCACTGCCATCAACCTTTATTTCTTCTGCTTGTTATTAGAATGCTCTCTTTACAATACTAGGTAAAAACTAAAATGCACATCGCGATGGTTACCGGCAGCTTCAACCAAATACTTTGAAGTGCGTCTAAAGGGCATTCATGTTGTAGCAGGCAGCAGCCATCTTTAAGCACCTGGTCATTTTGACCGGTACTAACCAGAATCAGGGGGCAGGCTTGGACCAGACAACTGAAATCTAAATACACCTAATCCTCTCTGGGCCTCTCACTCTTTCTGTCTCCCCTCCCACCATCCATCTCTCTCTCTCTCTCTCTTACAGCCATGACACTTTCTCTATACATGTTAAAGCTGTCATCTGCTGAAACCACAACAAAAGGACATGGTGTGCTGTTTAATTTATCTCTACACAGTCTGTCTGCGAACACATACGCGCACATTCACGCACGCTAACAAGAGGTGACAGTAATCTGTGGCCAGTGAATGAGATTGAGTGTCAAGTGGCTGCATGGCCCAGTTTCTTTACTCTCTCTCTCTATTGCTGTAGCACGCCCACCCAGACACACACACACACACACACACACACACAGTAACAAGTTAACACTCTAAGATTACCTTGTTTAGGACGGGGACTATTTATATCTTCTGACCTCTAATTATCCATGTGAAAGCACAGGATTAATATGGAAGCAAAGAAAAGCTGAACAAATATTGCATCCTCTTTGCTGAATATCGCTGTATTAAGACCGCAGATGCCACAAGAGCAGCTGACATTCAGTGTGACTGCAGTCGGTTCAGGTCATGTGCTTCCTATAAACAATCAGTTCTATCCATCACATCGGAGGAGCACCACTAACTCGCTGATATCTGATTTACGGGGAAGGAGGAGATGAAAACCAGATAGCATGAAGAGCTTGCCAACTCTGTCGCCCACACAGTGTAGCTGTTCCTCCTCTCCCACCTGCCTGCTCCGTCTGCTTCGCCTAACACATTTCTTACACACTTCCTGTTGTTGTCTGCTTATGGAAGACAGCCACGTATATATATATGCATACATAGGACTGGATATATTTGAGGCTCAGTACTTTATGTTAAAACAAAGGAATGGTTTCAGTCTCCTGTAGCTGATTATCAAACACACCTTAAAAAGTGAGCACCATTGGAGTTTAATACTCAGTCACTAAAGGCTTTTTATTGGATATCTCACCTTACACATTACAAACATGAAGCTACCTAAATTATAACAAGTTGATCTATTTAAAAGGATTCTTCCTGTTGCTGTGTTGAGGCACAAATGCTGTGCTATGTTAGTTGTGGAGAGTGTAATGTTATTGACATAAAAAAAAGCTTAGAACAATGACATAACTGTATTTGATTTATTTAAGATTCAGTCCTGAGGTGAAGACAACCCATTAAATTCAAATTAAAAGGAATGCCGTGGCGTTTTCTTGGAAATAAACAAGTTGCGTTCAGTCAGTGTTGCAACAGCTTGAAGTCTAACAAAAAAGTGGAATGTGTTTCTGTTCACAATTAATGGCACTAAATGTATATTGTGATAATAACTGACAACATGTTCAGCGTATTTTGTCGTCGTTGGTGCTAGCCTGTTTCCTAGCTTCCAGTCTTTATGTTAACCTCACTGATCACGGTCACAATGAATGTTGTACACAATTTCCATGTAATGAGTTTGTATGGAGATTATGATTATGAATCTGTGTTGACCACTGTTGTTCACAGACAGTGAGTTTGAACAGATGGCCCTAAACGAGAATCGCCGAGCCTCCTCTCTCACTGTCCATTTTGCCCGTAATGCAGCTTTATTGGTTTTCTCACCTCTTTCCTCTCCATCTCTCACCGCAACCTGGATGGCCTCTAAGTCGACAATCTACCTCCTATCGATTATGCTTGGCTTTCATCCGGATTTGAGCTTTTCACATGAAAGCCTGTCTGCGTTTAATCAAATAAAACAACATCTTTACAAAATAAAAGCTTGGCTCATAAAATAAAAGTGCGCTGAATTAGCTCGGGCCTTTAGCTTTTGGATGTAACTAGAGACTTCGGGCTATTCTGGACCTTGATAATCACTTTTAGTGCCGTTTCATGTTTCAGGACGTGGCAGGTTTCAGGGGTGTATTTATAGGTGGAAGGGAAACATTTGTGGTCAGGAAAGAAGGATGGAGAGAGCTCACAGGCTTTGTTTCTGTCTCCCTCACTCAGCACTTGCATCACTTTCCTTAAAGCCACGTTAGTGGAAAGCGACGGGAAACCTTCCGGGATCCTACGTACAGACTAATACATCCCTGCAACATCAAACATGTATGAGAGGAGGCGAACATGGACAACGGGATACAGTGTCACCTCTGTAGACACTGGTCCACGGGACATATTCAGACAAGCCTTGCATGTCCTTTTCTTCTTTCCAATTGTGTGTTTTCATCTACTGTATATCTTTACTACATGGAAAACATGAGGTAAATCCTCCAAAGTTACATTTACTTAACTGCCATTGGGCTCATGTTAGAATTCAGATGTGTTTTGAGAACCGGTATGTGCACACAGGTGCTACGACCAATCTTGTGTGTCCCTTTAGGAAGTGAAACTAACACTACAAACACTATTTTATTATGTATTATATTATTTTTAGTTGACAGTGTAGCAGCTGGGTTTCCTGCCTGTGTCAAAAATAGCTTTATAAAAATGTAATCTAAAGCCCTAATTAACTACATTAAAAAAGTATTTGGCACTGTCCATTGTTTTTGAAACAAATAGGAAGTTTAATGTCAAAAATATTAGGTTTAAGTATGGTCTTTCACTTCTCTCTCTTCTCTCTATGCATTTTGAAGTGTCGTGCCAACTAAAGATGGTTATGGCTGCAAGTCAAAAAAGTATTATCAAACCCCATCCTTCCTTTAGAGAAATTTCCCTTCCACTGACCTTTTTATAGATACTGTCAACTATTTAAACTCCATGGAAAAGATGACTTACTCCCTCCAGCTACAGAGAGACGTGGCTGAAAATAGTGTGTCACAGTGATATGGTTAGTAGACACTGATTGCTAACATTCATCATTATTTTTCTTCTTTGTCTTTCGCTCTGTGAAACAACCGACAAGCCTCAATTACACCATTTAAAAGAAAATGAAAGCATACGAAAATAAATCGGAAAAAAAATTCTCTGATTTATAGCTTTCTCATCCATGAAAAGCAGAGAGGAGAAAAAAAAGAGAGAGCATGTACAAT